TATTTGGCAATTTGGCACGCAAACGACGATCTGTTTCGGATGAGTACAAGAAAGAGTTGTGGAGTATAAATAGCCGACTAAGGAATCCTAACCGTGGCCCTGTACTGTTTCGATTGGTATCCCGTCACTCTCCCCCTCCCATGCCAATATTCGGTTTGCCGGATGTTTGCGTGCACTCAGGGACTGACCAAGAAGGAAAGGAAAGCGAAAGTGGTCCCGCTGACTACCGTGCGCGGGGAATGGAAGCCGCCGGCAGACGCTGAAGAGGATAGCCCATACGACGGCCCCGCGAGGCTGGTGGTGGTACCGGCACTTCAGGTAACGTGTATGATGTTGTGATTAGGATGTAGTCGCCAGTTCTGGTTGCACGCCTACGTTTGTGTTTTGTCTCATTATTTTCTGTGTTCCTGGAAAAGCCATATTCGAAGAGTTATGTTGTCGCGGGGGTAGAGGGCGGAAGANAAAAATTTTCCCCCCCCCCCCCCCCTCCCCATAAAAAAAAGGTCGACAGTACGCCACCAAGCATGGGCGTACAGCCGCTCTTGGTCCTTCTTTTCGCACTGTTGCAACCCCCTGGGGGGTAACACGCGAGCTTCGCAGCCCTGCGGGACGTGCGACTCGCACGTTGCCTTCTCCGTGGCCTGCATTAGAGCCCCTGCGTTCATGCCCGACCTGGGTACGCAGTTCCTGGAAAGCGTCAACGGCTCCATCGCCGCCAAGGCCACGAAGAGATGCGACTTCCCGGTTACGCACTACCCACGAGCTCAAATCGCGGTGATGAACCGTACGCTACCTGGCGGGGCAGAAGAAGTGGCGAATCTCATCCGCGAGGAAATGGCTCTACCTCGTCTGACCCCACCTGCCGCCAAGGTCATTTCGGATAACGACGTGAAGAACACGAGGCTCAACGCGAGAGGTGATTCCATGACGGGCGATGAGAAGAAGCAGAGAACCGACGACAAGTACGCGACGAGGGCGGACAAATCCCACCTTATTGCCGTGTGGAAAGGCATTTCCTCTAAGGACGCCGCAAACAACGAGATCGACCCATCCGGCTTCGGTCTCGTTGACGTTGGGTCCGTGAGAGAAACCCTCGACGCCATTTCCGGCGATAAAGAACCCGAGAAAGCCCCCGCCCACGTCGACCCATCCGGCTTCGGTCTCGTTGACGTTGGGTCCGTGAGAGAAACCCTCGACGCCATTTCCGGCGATAAAGAACCCGAGAAAGCCCCCGCCCACGGCGGCGAGGCGAAGGAAGGGGGGGCGATTGGAGGGAAAGGGAAGGGCAGCAAGAAGAAGGGGACGAAGAGGAAATCTGCGACGGACGTCATGCTGGAGCACACCGCAGCGGGGAGCAACACAGAGAAGAATGCAAACGTTCTGTCTGATGTTCGGATGGGAGCGGGGAAGACCAAAGGCACGTGTGCAGCCTGTCGGGCTGCCGGGGTGGGCCTCGAGTTCTTGGCCCGCAAGAGCCATTCCCGTAAGGGCGCGGCAAAGTGCGATGCAATCCGTGAAGAGTGGGCACAGGCAAACGCTCAATCATAGTACTCGTGGAGGGGGGGTGGTAGGTGTTTCGGCTCCGCGCGTGCAGATCTTGGGTGTTTTAGACGTCGCAGGGCAGACTCTGGACGTTTGTCTGACCCTAAACCTAAACAAGAGAGGAAATATTACAGCAGAAACACACCCAGCCATGCCCATCTCAAAAATGGGAAACTGGAACAGCGTTTCGCCGCCACCGAGACCCGTCTGTAATGTGGGGGGTTCTGCCTTTGATTCCGGTACTCCACTTTTCACGCTATAACTACATGTACGGGGATAAGTGCCCTCTCCTCCGTGTTGCTTGATGACGGGAAAAACATGTTGCATTTCTGTCTTGAAGAAACTTAGCCCAAAGAAAGAAAGAGGGACACCTTCAAAAAATAACACACAAGGGACGTACACCCCTACTGCCCCCTCGTTTCGTGGTCGTCGTCACAGAAGATGCGTACAAAGAAAAGAACCCCTAAAATAGGATACGTCGATGCTTAAAAAAATGTCAAGCGCTGCCACCGACACGACAACCGTATCTGCACACCCAACACGATGCCAGCAAAATCGGAGCAATAAGTATTGTCCTCGCCTCTACATACGCAGGGGACCTACATCCCTACTGCCCCCTCGTTTGTTGGTGGTCCTCGCACGAAAACGAGCCAGATTCG